TAGAAGAGAGACCTTCTAGCACTGCTGGTAAAATCCCCATGTAAGAAAGGGACGCATAGTCATATTACCCTCGAATTTCTGGTGAGGAAATTGCAGCATTATTGTATCAGCACTGACAGTTAGGTGACCGGTCATTTGCCAGTAAGATTTCTTGTAGGGTTCTTCATGAATGCATACAACCGATTTCTACTGGGACGTTTATGCTCCACGCTTGTATGTGAGCAAATTTGACATCGCTATAACTTTCGCCAAATTTGTGTCTTTCGCAATAAATTAAATGCGTTTAGGGAATTAAAACCCGAAAATTTTTTAGTTTAGCGCTTGTTTCGTTGTTTGGTGCCCTTTTCAAGGTAATTTTATAATAAAAACGTGATTCTATGTTGACATTGTAATTATTTTTTTCATTAATTTATTCATTCCAAACGGACGGAAAACTTTATCCGTTGACTTACACATATGCTAGTGTTTGGCCGAGCTTCTCCTCTAGATAATATGCTCCCAGATAATCCAAACGCAATCACACAGTCTCCATCACGGAATTTATAGAATATTCTGCTAATTAGGTGGGTGTGCGCATTTGTACAAAAGTAAGCAATTGCATCAAAATAAAGCCGCTAGAGAAACCAAGTAAAGTTTTGCAAATTGTTCTACGAATAAAAAAACATTTTGCTAATTAAATTAATTAACTGCCCATAGTTGGAAACATTTACAAGTGACATTGTGTGATTACTTAAAATATTTGAACATACAGCTTTATATACAAAAATACCACTAAACACTGCAATACAAATTTGTTGTTTTTTTATGGGAAAATTGCGCTATTTTTAGTGTTTTGGTGCTTTTTTAAATAAAAAACTTGGCAATACTGATCACTGGCTGACCTTCTTCGAGCGCTCTTTGCTGGTTTGGACTGAAAAAATGGCAGTAAAAATCAAGTTTTCGTAGTAGGTGTGCATTTCTTATCTTTATAAAAAACAATTAATTTCTCTTCGTATCCCTGTATTCTGGGACTAAATAAGGGGCTAAAGCTGTCTTTACGTGGGTCGATTTCTGTAGACTGGAAAATCGAATAGCCAAAGCATTTACATTTTACGGTTTAGATGTCATTTACACGGGTCGATTTTGGTTGAACGACAAAAATCTACTAGAAATTCGACCCGTGTAAAGGCGTCTTAATCCAGCGAGCAATTATCATTAAAGTTAAAATGCTTTGGTTAAAATTAATAAAAAGTGATTTCATTCTTTCTTTACCGGGACAATTGTTACATCGGTGGGCAACGACGCAATTATAGAATTTTAGACAGAGCAATATTTTTCGATGGGGTTCAAATCGGGCGATTGTGAGGGCCTATTC